CCTTGTTGGCCCCCGCCCACCTTTGCGTCCTCCAGTTCAACTGCAACGGGATCCAATCCAGTGCGGTTGAACTGGCTACCTACCTCGCCAAGAACGACGTGGCGGTAGCTTGTCTACAAGAGAACAAGCTATCTGCTGCATCCCGCCCCCCTTCTTTCCCCGGATATGCGCTGGAGCGCAAAGACCGCCCCCGCGGCCACGGTGGCGGTCTCCTCACTCTGATCCGCCACGTCTCGTTCACCGGGCAAGACATCTCTCCCCTCCTACACGGCGACACCACCATGGAGGCTATGGCAATCTCCATTCCTCTCAATGGTTCCCCTCTCCGCATCATTAATGTTTATATCCCACCGGCCTCCTCCTGCCCCGCGGGATATTCCCCGGAACTGTCAGACATAGTCTCCTTACCGGGCGACTGTCTGATAGTTGGCGACTTTAACGCCCATCACCCTTCCTGGTTCTCCCACACGGACGACCAGAGAGCCGCAGCGCGGGGAGCCGCAGTCGACGATGTCGTTGCCAATTCCTCCCTCGCCTTCCTCAACGAGGATTCCTATACCCGCCGCCCCTCACACGGCCCACCCTCCTCTCCGGACCTCGCAATCATCAGCGATCACCTTCTACTCGACACCTCCTGGACCCCTCAAGTTGCCCTAAACTCGGACCACCTGCCCATTCTGATTCACCTCCCTTCCTCCGTCGACTCTTCGACCCCCCGAGCTGCCCGCTTTTACGTCAACTTCAAAAAAGCTGACTGGCCCGCCTACACGGCAGCCACTGAAGCGGCCCTCCAGATGGTCAACAATGCCGAACATTGTTCGGCATTGTTGAAGTTCAATTGAACTTAAACTAATGGTGGAAGTTCAAGCCGCACCCATCTATCCCACTGGAGGCTGTTCGACCATTCAAGGTTCCTTCTTATTCCTGCGTAGCAAATCCCCTTGAAACTCTGATCAACCGCCCAGGTCGACTAACATCGTTAGTCGACCTTGAGGGAAATCCTGATCTCTGCAGCCAGACAGCATATCCCTGCTGGCTTCCGCAAGGACTTCTCCCCCTCGGTCAACCCTGGCACCCGGTTGCTCATTGAGCAACGGGATGACACCAGGGCTCGTGATCCATCAGACCCCCGGCTGCCAAATCTGAACTTGGAAATTAGCATTTCCATCCAGGCCCACGCCAGAGACAAATGGCGAACACACCTTGCGTCGTGCTGCAGGCGCACAAACCAGTCCAAGCACTGGAATCTCCTACGCTCCCTAGCAGGAAAGCGTAACCGTCCTCCCCCCAATCAGCCAATCCAATTTGGTCTGAATACCCTCTCATCTCAGCGCAAGATCTCATCCGCCTTCTGCAAGTTGTTCACTTCACTTGCCCCCCACTCCCAGAGCCCCTCCACCCGCCGCCTCATATGTAGAATCCAGGCGGAACATCCCCTGGACAGGGACTTCTCCCCGTTCACACCCGACATGGTGAAGCTCGCTATCGCGGCTGCCAAGAACTCCTCCGCACGAGGCCCGGACGGGCTCACGGTCCTGCATTTTAAGCACCTCGGACCACGCGGTATCCAATTCCTCACCCGCATTTTTAATATCTCCGTCGCCACAGCCTCTATCCCATCCATTTGGAAAAATTC